CAATGCTCCGAAAGTGAAACCATTGACGAAGGAACATCTCCAAAATGATACTTTTTTCGTCAGCCTAACTAAAATCACCAATATGACACTGTTTGTAGGGTTTTAAGGCTGGCTTAAGATTTCTTGTGCGTGAATATAACAATATAAAAGACAAAAAATCACACAAACTCATTTAGGTTTTAGAGCTGTACTTGTAAAAATGGATTTAATTAGAAAACCAAATCTGGATTAAGAAGTGAAGCCATATTAAATTGCATTCTATTAGGTTGTGTTTGTGTCTCATTTTTTTATAAAATATACATATGTTTTTGGCCAAACTATTTATTGAATGTCTATTAGATCAAAATATTTATTTAGTTGTAATTAGCAAAATATCATGATTTCAATTAGCTATTATTGTTAACACAAATCAAATCCACTAGATTAATATTTTGGTTTCTTACAATATAAACCATCACCATTAATAAACAAAGAACACTGATCGCAATATAGATTGAATATTATTTCTTAAAAATAAAATTATTATTGAAATAAAAGAAAACATAAAAATTGACTTTAATAACATAAACAAATAACAAAAGGAAAACAAAAAATAATGGTTCTTCAATAAAAAAAATTAAGCAAATAATAAGATAAACAAAAGAAAAATGTGATAACTCCACATATTTTATATTTGCATCAATCAAACTTTCTATGGAACTAAAATCCATGCGGTTGATAACTTCATTCTTTTAATTTGTCATCTTGCATAAATATTAAAAATATAACATCAAAAACTTCAAATGTGATTTAATAGTTCAAGCATAAATTCATGATAGAAAAAATTGATTGGACATACAAGTGGATCTTTCAAGTAAAAATCTTTCTCAATTAAAAAAATAACATGTTTCTTTCTACTTAACCAAAATATTTATTTAGTGGCAGATTAACAAAATATCATGAATTTTATTACGTCATTTGTTTAACACAAAAAATCCATAAGAATCATACCTTCTTGTCAATTTCCTTTCCATGACCATGACAATCATTTCTTTACCATCCATTATTATAAAACATACAATTAGTATCAAATTATCTTTCTCACTTTATAAATGAAAAGTGTGACTAAAAAGCTAATTTACATGTCACTATGAATCAACTCTTGAGACATACAATAATCATCTGCAAATAAACTCTATTTTTTTTGTTGAGATCAAAAGGACGCTCATCAAAACCATTATGCAAATAAGTTAGGAAACAATTAGATATGCTCAACAATAAACACCAACTTGGATTACTAATATATTTTACCAGAAAGTCACGAACACTAGCACTTCACGTATCTTCTAAAACAGAGGTTAGATTTATATTCAAAAGAAAACAGCATAAACAAAGAATCCTTTAGTCCCAGAAAGGATATGAATCTAAAAACCAACATGATAACCTAAGTGTTGTTTTTTCTTTTAGAGGAAACAAGCCGAAGAGAAACTTATCAAACCTATAAATTCAAATCAATGGATAGAAATAAATTATTAGCAAAATATATCAACTAACATCAGCTCGTGATTAAATTTCTCATCTAGCATAGCTTTCATGATACGTAAGAACACTAACATTTTCTCTTAATTGAAGTCATCATATTCTTCTCCAAAACACATTTGAAAATAAACATGTATTACATCGCGATTCATGAGAAAATAAAGAAGAAATTGAAGCAAAAGTATGAACTTGTTTTTACCTTTGTCAAATAATTAACTTCAATCTCAGTTATAGGCTTAGCAAACACTTGGTATGGAGAAGTCTGAGCTAACTCTCTCTTGATTTCTAATTGCACATGAATTCCAAACCTTCTAAATGACTGGAATAAACCAAAGATTATTTTACATTTATCAAGACAGTTTTCCAAAAAGTACTCCAACCATGCGTATTTGCAAAATAATTCATATTTGAAAAGGTTGAAGAGAGTTGTAAAATTAAGAGTTATCAACTCTTTAACATATTTATCTCAGAGCATAGTGCAGGTAAGAATCGTGTGAGATTTTTGAAATATATATACTTCATTATACCAAATTTGTGTTACATGGTGAAATATTCTTCAAAAACCGACTTAGATAATAGCCAATTTACATGTTGAATGAGATCACATGAATCAAGATATAACTCTCTGCATATTCTCAGTTATGGTCTACAATAGAAAAAAAAAATCAAGATGTGATAATATGATTGTCAAAAGTTTAAAACTTCTGCTGCGAATGGCTTTAAAACATATCAATCGTCATATTTATTGAAGTGTAAAAATTGAATTGGCTGTGTAAAATGACTTAATACATAACAAAAAATACATATAATAACACACAAAAAAACTAACAGAGGTCAAAGATAGTGCATTCAATTTGTTTTCTCCACCTTTGCTTAAGAGTTTGGTTTGAGATTCATTTTTGGCTTGGCATTTATTTGATGTGGAGAACCATGAATTGCTTATTTCCTGCTTCCTATCATTTTTATTTGTAAATTCCTGACCGTTCAAAAAAAAAAAGATTTCATACGATTTAACTTAGACAATTCACAGATTTACACACAAAATACATGGATACAAAGTATACTTATCATTTGAAAGGACCTAAATAGATGATTAATCATTTGAAACAATTCGAAGAGACAATGCTAAGCATGATCTTTAGGCCATACCATGTTTATTATAGTCTCAGTTTTAAGAAATGACCCATTTGATTTCAACAAATACAACATGTTATTCAAATATATATGAATAATTAGAGTTTTACATCGATTAAGACAAAACTTGTTTGATAACATAATAATATACTTTAAAGAAATCACACATTGGCTTAAAAGACTTAAATGTCTTCCAAATGGAAGTAATAAGATCTTTGAACTTTTCATGATATCCCTTAAGTCGCAACTCAGTGGCGTTGTCATCTCCAAATGATAGTTGGGAAGTTATATATGCCAATTCAACTTATATTGCAATTGGAAATAAAAAGTTACAAGAGTTCCATTAAAAAAAAGAAAAAAGAAAAAACAAAGGACTTAGCTCATGTTTGAGCATCTCAAACATTATCCTACTGATCGTGTGGGAAACAACACCAGGCCCAGGGTTGAGATATATGTTAATAGAAGCTTTAGACAATATTTTCTTATTGTCTTTGTAGAAACATTTGTCTCCAATGTGTTAAAAAAACTCTCCTCATTTTCTACTTCTACATGATCTTTAAGAACATCACAAAAACTTGTTGGCATCAATTCGTTGCGCAATGGCAAATGAAGCGCATGATCTAACTCCTCAAAAGTCTCCCATCGATGTATGTAGGAAAGAGGAAATGATTATTTCTTGTATTTGAAAGTGAAAAACAATTCTCTTTCGCTTAATGAGAGAGAAAAAAGGAACAAACAATCAGTTTACAAAACTACAAATATAGAAACTAAACAAGTAGTTTTACCTTCTTCTGTGAATGGTTTTGACAAAATATATATCCTCATATTCTTGATGATGAAATTACCAAGCATGTCAATAAAAGATTGGGCATCACCAAAGCCATAATCAAAATCAAGAGATATTGCTTTTGTCACGGGGAACTTCAGCATATTAACTAGAAAAAAGTAAAATCGGAAGAGAAATTAAAAATTGATACAATCAAAGAGGAGGTTTCGTGAAATACATGCAAAAGCCTGAGAAAACTGAGTAGGATCAACAAGCTGGCCATCATCGAAATCCAAGCAAGCAAACCTCATTTTCCTTAATGTTACGTGCTCTTCAATATGCGTTGAGAGTGATTGATAATCAATTGTCTTCAAAAAATTGAAGTACTGATAAACGTAAGAGACCATCTCATTTTTCTGCAAATTAAAACAACAAAAAGACTTACACACAAAAACATAAAAGAAAACTTAACACATAAAAATATATTCAACTGTAAACAATATAAGTACATGTTCATATCAATCCTCATATTATCGAAGGGTACAAATTGAACTGGTTGTGTAAAATGACTTAATACATAACAAAAATACATATAATAAACACAAAAAACTAACATAGGTCAAAGCTAGTGCATTCTGTTTTTTTTTTCTCCACCTTTGCTAAATAGTTTGGTTTGAGACTCTTTTTTGGCTTTGCACTTATTTGATGTGGAGAACCATGAAATTGTTATTTGTTGCTTCCTAATTCCTTTGGAATTTCAAATTCCTAACCGTTCCAGAAAGTAAAACTTCTTACGGTTCAACTGTTTACAATTCACTAGATTATACATACAAAATATATAGATACAAAGTAAATTTATTCTTTAAAAGAACCTGAATAGATGATTAATAATTTGAAGAACAATGCTAAACATCACGTTTATTATAGTCTCAAATTGAAGAAATGACCCTTTGATTTCAGTAAATACAACATTTATATATATACATAAATTATTAAAGTTTTACATCGATTAAGACGAAGTCTTTTGATAATAACGTATAAAAGATACTGTAATCCTTATCATTTGAGATGGTTTTTGGGTTGAGTTAGGTCATATTCCTAATATGGTATCTAAAAGATGTTAGACCTAGTAGGGACGAATGTAAACTAATTAGCACACAATTGTTTCAACTTGAGAAGTAGTCGGATTTTGCTAACATTTTGAGATTGTGTGATTTTTGTGGTTTATTACGCATTTGAACAAGAAACAAAACATCTTTGACTCCAAAACACACAAACAATACGACCATGAAGGCATTTATCTTCCAATAAAAAGTGACTAGATATTAATGATCATATAAACTGTTTGATGGTTGTAAATTGTTATTACGATCACATGGGATTTGAGTAGATAACCAACCATTCGAACGAATAAGATATACAGGTTTATAATATCAAGTTTTGATCATCTCTTCATATTTATTGTAACTATATAAATTTATCGGATGACAAAAAAAAATATAAACTTTATCTCACATAACACACAAGGAGCAATAAAGCATCAGGTACCAAATAAAATTTGGATGTAACAGAGAAAATTTAGCTAAAACATAATAACATTCACAACAAAAGAAACCGATGAAATAGTAACATCTCTCAGAAGCAACTCTACTCTCCTGTCTCTGTTGTCTCTGCTCTTGATCCTATTAAGAAGAAGAAAACAGGTTTCAGACAAGAGAACCTGTGGGGATGAGTGATCTTTTATTACCTGTGTCTGATTCCAGGGACTCTGATTCCCTTCTTCATTCTCTCAACGAACTCATAAAGGTGTGAGTTTCTGAAACAAGCAACCAATTAGAGATCAGATTCAAGAACTTATGTCACTTGTGGTAAAAGAGCCTTTTAATTACCATGTCACATGCGTCCTTGAAGTATCTAGCAGCGTCATCAATGGATCCAAAAGCAAAGAGAGAACCTCAATGAATTTTGCACAGTAACGATGGATCCAAAAGCAATTTTGAACCAATAGAAGTGAAATGACATCACCAACTCCAGCATAGCATGGTGCAATAAAGAGTTCTGTGTAACTCATTTTCTCTGTGTTTCAGCTATAATATGGTTTAGTTTCAATAACAATACCTGTCATCAGAAATGGTGGAGATGATGTGAGTATGATATAATTTGGATATCAACGACTCTGATGCTTTATACTAATTCTCTTCTTCAACTGCAGAGACTCTCATTGAGAGTATCTCCCAAGCTGCCAGCTCAACAATAAACTGCTTCAGTCTTATCAATACTCCCCTCTTTTTGACAAGCTTGGATTGTGAGAAATGTGGACAGAAACCCACACGTCAACAGTCTCGTTATTCTCCATTAAAAGCTCGGCAGCAACTTCAACTCATATCTTCTCATTGTTTTGTTTTTGAACTTCCAATCCTTCAGACACTTTCTGTTGTTATACTTGTGTCATATGTCTGGCTTTCGCCACATGTAATATAGATGCTTCTTTCAGCCAAATCCCCTTAACCTTGCTTCAGTATCCACCAGTAACACCAAATCAGCAGAGATCTGTGTATTCCTGCTTTGTTTGAGACCAGAAACTTTGCAAGTGTAGTTGCATCATCAGTTTCACACCTGCATAGTACAGTACTGGTCTCGAAACTGGAAAAGCAACTGGAAACATTTATATATATAACTTAACCTTAAACCTAAAAATCTTAAACTGAAAATAAGAAAAAAACTTCCCAAAATTCTCTATTCATGAGAACCAGAGTTTTTAATAAAAAAAATTTCAGGAGTCCTAACTAAATAATTTGAAAACATGAAGAAAAATATTTAATCTTAGGCACAACTACTATGATTAAATATTTGTGCCTAAGATTAAATATTTGGTTTCCCATGTGAATCGCTTAGATTATCTCTGGATGTGTGTCAAACTACCTTCCGGCTTCTCCAATCCATTTGACTCGGTCTCATGTAACCCATTAGGGACACGACACCTTCATGGGTATTAGCACCACTACTTTGATCCTGACGACACAGCACGAACCTGGACTTGTTTCTTGAGTCAGAGTAGCACCTCGGGTCTGAGTTATCCTCATGCTTTCGTGACTTCATTCGTTTATAACGAGCATCAGCTGAGACACCGGATTCGATTCATGCACAAAATCATTTGTCAGAGATAGCTCTGTTCCAACCACACCATCCTTTTGGCAGTCCAATGCCGAATTACATTCACCCCTAAACAAGGCATAAACAAGGCAGCTTTAGGGAGCCAAGATTGGCTTACTATAGTTTGTGTTTATATAACTTTAGCAAATGCAAAATAAAGTCCAACGTAACTTGTAAAAGAAATTGGCTTACTATAGTTTGTGTTTATATATGTGTGCAAGTATACAGATAAATGGGTGTGTGCAAAAAAGACAAACTAAACTCGCCAACAAGAAAAACAAAATTTAGAAATCACATACAGCTCAAAAGGGAGAAGGATCCCGTCCGTAAAAGCGTTGGAACACCAGCTGTAACTTGTTTATTTCCATCACCGAGCCCTCGTTGAAACAAAGAGCAATTGCTTCAGAAGCTCCTCCACCAAGTGAGATCTCTTTTGACGTACAACAAAAACATTATAATTTGAGAAAAATGAATGACCAATAATTAACACTTGTTCACATAGAAATCGCATAGGTACTAGATACAATCAGTGAGAGATCAGCTCTAGTAGTTAGTTACCTCTTAGCCAAGTCAGAGCATAGTTTAAAAGGAAAGGAAATTTCCAACATCTTGTCATCCCTACTAGGCAAACCACTACCAAAAAGCATTATGATATCTTCTTCTAGGAAGAAGCTCATGTTCAAGAAGTTCATATCACAAGAGTGCATAAGTGGAGCATCAAAAAGATAAACTTCCCACTGGTCCAAAACAATGTTAGGCGGCCACACAACATCTTGAGCAATATCTGCGCCTGCAATCTGGCAATTTTTCTGGAAAAAATTCAAAAGACTTTCGGAGTATTTTCCTAAAAGCCCCTAGACCCTGTCAATGAAAAGAAAAAACGTGAGGAAAATGTAATATTTCCGACCAGTAAGAGAAGAGAAAATACGATCCAAAGCAATTCTGTTACTTGCACTTTCTCTGGAAAACTACAAATAAAACTGTATGCATCTCTAAGCTTTAAGCAAATACTGTTGCTATTTTATTTCTTCGGAGCTAAAACTATCTAAAACAAAACAGGATAATGACAGAGTCATCCTTGTACTAACTAATGCTTAAATATATATATACGTCTACTCCGATGAATCTGTCTACCATCATTGTACTGTTCAAAATTTGCTAATCTTTTTTCGATCAAAAGGATGATTTGTATATGATTAAGGGTCTCCCGTTTAAATTTCAAAATAACAAACAGAGCTTATGAAGTCAGAGCCACGGAGAAGTATGATCAGAGAGCAAGAGAAAGAGTCGTCTGAAACTCCAAATCCATAACACATATTTGTATCTGCAACATAAAAAAAAAAAAAAAACCCTAAATTCGAATTGGCCTATCTCTATAATAATCCAAACGAAAATCTAATCAAAAAATTGCAATACACAAGTAAGATTGACACTATATTGCATACACAGTGTCAGTAACAGTTCCTCTATGCAACAACAGCAACGGAAGATAGAAATATAATAAAAATTCGAGAAAAAAAGGCGCGACGGTTAGGGAGTCGACGAAAGCTTCAGCTTCAGCTTCGTTTGGATTCAGGAGAAGAAAGAGAGAGAGTTTTAAATCCAGATTCCGAGAAATTCGATTAGGGTTTGTGGATTATACGAAGAGAGAAAGAGGATCAGAATCCCAACCTCTGCTACTAATGGCAAAAGGCGAAAGAACAGACGAAGAAGAAGAACTTTTTTTTTTTTTTTTTGAACAACCAGAGGAAGAAGAACCTTGACCTACAAAACACTGCGTTTTCAATCATTTTAAAGTTATCGAGTGAACTGTTAACATAAAGTTACATTATTTTACTTTGTTTAAACATGTCGTTCAAAAATAGCTGTAGTTTAGTGGTGAGATTTCCGTGTTCTGGCCGTGGAGACTTGAGCTCGAATACCAACAGCAGACACATTTTTTTTTTTTTTTTTTCGTTATTATTGAGATTTTGGATCTGTTTCAAGAGCAATTCTCTCAAATAGCCCTCTAAGTTTTTACCTCAAAAATTAAAATGACCAAAATAATATTTTTTATTTTGAAAATTTTAGGTCTTTTTTTTTTAAATTTTTTTAAATTCAAAACCCTATCCCCAAAACCCCACTCTTAACTCTAAACAAAAAAATCTAGGATTAGTTAATCCAAGGGTATAAATGTATATTTAATAAAAAAATTAAATGCTATTTTGGTCATTTTAATTGTTAAAGTCTATATTTGTGATTAAAACTTTTTAAGGTCTATTCTAGTCATTTTCTTTTGTTTCAAGGCTCATGGACTTTTTGGAAAGTATTAAGTTTAATGGGTTTTATCAGTTTTATTTATGTTTTGATCGATAAAATCTTTTTTTTTTTTTTCTATTTGTTTTTTTCATGCTCGTATTTTGTAGTAATTCATGATGAAAAATTAATCGACTTCACTTTTGAGAATTTTTATGGTGACTTTTAAAGACCATTTTACCATGTTAAAAAATATCAAAATTTACCATACAATCATTGATGGAAACTAAAAACAATTCTTTCATTTTTGAAATTTCACTTATCAAAATCTGATTTGAAATGGATTCAATCCAAATGCATCTTCATAAAGTATATTCTATATATAAAATTTCAAGTAGGATTAGCCTATGGTTAATAATTGGCCATCCATCCTTGAAATTCGTAGGTTTATAAGATTAAAAGCTTGATTCATTAGTTACCAACTGGGAGATCAGTTATCAGATCTCATGGAAATGTAAACCATTAACTTTGAAGTAAATTTTACTTCTACCGTTTTAGTTTTCATTGCATAATTACATCCAAAACAAAACTTAATGTTAAAACAAGATAAAAAAAAATTAAACTTTTCATCTAAATTTACAATGCAGTTGGATTGTCAATAAATGAGATATAATAAAGGATAAATTTACACATATGTAATGTGTATGTAAATTCTAGTGATAAATATTATTTATTTTCTCATGAATTGAGATGTGACACAGATTTATTTTCAAATGTCTTGTGAAGAAGATTCTATTGACTTCAAATCAGACAAAGTGTCAGCCTTCTAACATATTATTAAAGCTACGATAGATGAGAAAGTTTATCGCAAGCTGAGGTTAGTTGGTTTATTTTGTTTATAGTTGATTTTTGTTTATTACTTGGAATTTATAGGTTTATAAGTTTCTCTTCGTTGTGTTTCCTCTAAAGACAAAAACAACGATGAAATTGGTTTCAATCATAGTTTTTCATTTATAAATGGGGAAAGATAATTTGATGTTAATTGTATGTTTTATAATCATGGAGGGTAATGAAAAGATCATCATGGTCATGGAAAGAAAATTGAAAAGAAGGTATGACTTTAATGGATTTTTTATGTTAAACGAATCGCTTAATATAATTCTTGATATTTTGTTAATCAGCCACTAAATCAATATTTTGGTTAATTAGGAAGAGACATGTTATTTGAGAATGATTTTACTTGAACATCTACTTGTGTGTTCAATTTTTTCATCCTGAATTTATATTTGAACTATTAAAGCACCTTTGATATTTTGGATTTATATTTCAATTTTTATGCGAGATGACAAATAAAAAAGAAGAATGAAGCCAGAGATTCCATAGTTCACAACCGCATGAATTGTTGCTGCATAGAAAGTTTGATTGATGCAAATGTAAAATATGTGGAGTTATCACGTTTGTCTTTTGTTTTCCTTGTTATTTGCTTAATTTTTTTTGTTGACGAACCATGACTTTTTTGTTTTGTTATTTGTTGAAAACTCCTGTCCAATAAACCATAGTATGTTTTTGGAGTCGATTCTTTATGTTTTCAATAATAATTTCTTTGTAAATAAATAAAATATGACGATAGACTCATCCTGTCAAAAGTGGAAAAAGTACAAGTCCATTGTTCTTCAGAATGGCCTCACCGTTCTTCTAATATCAGACCAATCATCTTGTGTAAGTGCTGCTGCGATAAGTGTTAAGTTCGGTAGTTTTAATGATCCTGAGGATATGCAAGGTCTTGCTCACATGATTGAACACATGATATTCAATGGTTCAACTTCCAATTGTGGTGAAAACGAGGTGAGGTCTATTTTTTAATAGTTTTGTGTGTTTCATGTTTTATCTTCTTATGATTCCATAATGTTCCTTGTTTTGTGTGTAGTTTGAGAGTTTTGTGGTGACACGTGGTGGTGAAGTTTTAGCTAACACAGAACCGGAATATATAGGTTTATCTTTTACGATTGCTAAAGATCATTTTAAACTTGGATTCGAAATGTGAGTATCATTTTATTCGTTTTGGAGTTTTCATCACCTTTTATTATCGAAGTTTTTAAACATTATTATCTTGTTTTTACTTTCTAGGTTTGCTAATTTGTTCAATGAACCTCTAATGGATATTGAACAGTTTAAAAAGGAGATAAAGACCCTCAATCAAGGTACTGTTTCATTGTATGTTCATTTAATACGTATCTTCTTAGAAGCTAATTATTATCTAATTTTTACTGTTGTAGAGTTTGAATTGCACAAGTACAAAGACTCCAGCCGCATGGAACAACCCTTTGCTCATACTTAACCAAAAGATCATCCTTTTAACCGGTTCCAATGGGGTAATAATCAGTCTTTCTCAAAACAGCAACCTCAAGCTATCTGTGACTGTGCTATGGAGTTGTTTCGTAAACACTTCATAGGAGTTTCCATAAAGCTTGTTATAATCGGATCAGGTAATTTTTGATCACTCTATGAATGTGGGTAATTCATAATTTCTTCAATCACATATTTTTCTTTGCAAAATGTTTAAATGAGCTTGAAGATTCGGTCATTGGGTATTTTTTCCAAGCTTAAAGGTGGACATATGATTAATTTTGTGTCTCCGAAGTATAAAGATTGTTTCTGGAAGCATGGCGTCTGATACACTCTTGAGTCTATGGAGGATGCCCAATCTATGA